TGGTCTGTAATTTTCTTTCTTAGTGACGCCCTTCCCTGGTTTTGGTATGAGGGTTATGCTTACTTTATTAAAACTATTAGGAAGTTTTCCATCCTCTTCTATATTCTGCAATAATTTGAGTAGAATTGGTGACAGCTCTTCCCTGAATCTTTGGAAGAACTCACCAGTGAAGCCATCTGGGCCTGGACTTCTTTTGGTTGGGAGTTTTTTGATGACCTGGTCAATTTCTTTTGTTATGGGTCTGTTCCAGTTTTCTTTTTTAGTATGTGTAATTTTAGGTAGGTTATGTTTATCTAAAAATGTATCCATCTCTTTTAAGTTTTCAAATTTGTTTGAATACAACTCTTCATAATATTCTGTTATTATCCTTTTGATTTCCTCTGGTTCCGTTGTGACATCACCTCTGTAGTTTCTAATGCAAGTTATTTGTGTCCTCTCCCTCTTTTCTTTTGTTAGGGTTGCCAATGGTTTGTTGATTTTATTAATCCTCTCAAAGAACCAGCTTCTTGTCCTGTTGATTCTTTCTATAGTTTTTCTGTTTCCATCTCATTTATTTCTGCTCTTATCTTTATTATTTCTTTTCTTTTGGTGATTGTAGGTTCCCTCTGTTTCTAACTATTGTAGATGCTGTGTTAATGTGTTAGTTTTGGTTCTTCTTTTTGGATGTGCACATTTAACGCAATAAATTGTCCTCAGCACCGCTTTTGCTGTGACCCAAAGATTTTGGTATGTTGTGTTTTCATTCTCGTTTGTTTCTAGGAACTTTATGAATTCATGTTTAATTTCTTCTTTTATCCAGTCGCTTTTCAGCAGGTTGTTGTTCAGTTTCCATGTATTCGACTTTATTTCTTTAATCTACTTGTTGATTTCCAGTTTTATAGCATTGTGGTCTGAAAAGATCTTCTGTAGTATTTTGATGTTAGTAAATTTATGGAGACTTGCTTTGTGACTTAATACATGGTCAATTCCGGATAATGTTCCATGTGCACTGGAAAAGAATATGTATTATGTTGTTGTTGAGTTGAATGCTCTGTACACGTCTATGAGGTCAAGTTGGTTGATTGTGCTGTTTAGTTCCTCTGTATGTTTGTTGAGTTTCTTTTTGATTCTGTCCCTTTTCAAAAGTGGCATATTAAAATCTCCCACTATAATTGTAGATCTGTCTTTCTTCGATTCTAGTAAGGATTTGCTCCATATATTTTGGTACTTTTTCATTGGGAGCGTAGATATTATGGTTATGGCATCTTGCTCAGTTGACCCTTTTATAGCGTAGAAAAATTTAAAAATTTTTTTCAAAAGGACAAATCCTATTATGTACTGGTAAGTTATTAGTAAATTCAAGCCAGTTACAAAAATCCTTTTTTTCAAATGAACATCAGATGTATCACTTCTTTGTCCTAAAAACATGATTCTTAATAACACTGGGCAATAGCTGTGCATAAAGGTCATTCTCTGTCTTGCCCCAGAGGCTGGGGAGCATTATTACCCTTAAACACTAATTTAAAAAATAATTTCTTCCATAAGCAATTAAAAATATGCCATCCATGTATTAAACTTGTCTATATTTTTATTTTTCTATAGTTTAACTTCTGTAGACATTATCCAAGTTTTCTGCTGAGCCTCAGAATTTACCTACATTAAAAAACGTAAGATTGCAGTTGAATAAAGTAGTAACATCAAATCAGTATTTATGTGACACTTTTAAAGTGGCATGTTTCATTTTTTCAGTGAATCAGAAAGTAAATAATTCCTAATTATTCTCAAATAGTTCCATATCTAAAGGATGTACTCTTTGGAGTGTAGGCAGCTCAGTAGTGTAAAATTCATTCTTTCCTTTTTCGTACAGTGTTGCTTATTAATATATCAGTGTCACTTCTTAAATCCAGTAGTACTTAACATGTAAGCCCCAGCCTTCATTGCACTCCGTAGTACTGAGTTCAGGAAACCTTTGCCCTGATTTCACCATTTTCTCCACATACATGTACAAGAGGGCTTCAAAAGATTTGTGGAGAAATGGAATTTTCCATCAAAATTCCTATACTATAGTGACAAGCAGCCAAAACCTTTCAGTTTAACCTGTTCTCTTTAATTCATAGTTTTAAAATAAACCTGATTTATTTGTTTAAACTTTTAGAGCATTACATATCCTGACTGACTAACTATATGATGGTAGGACTTGTGTTAAGACAATTATGTTGACAGTTTTACCTTTAGGAAATCTGAATTTTAAATAACATTCTAGGAGGTAGGATAGGGCTCAGACTTTAAGCATCGCTGCTTCCAATATCTTAAATAGAAAATTGTGAGATTTACAAATAATTTTCTTTTCCTACTGTTTAGGTTGGTCACAGCAGATGTAGCTTTTTACACTGGAAATCTGCAAGCCTTAAAAGGCCTTAAAGATTTGGACCTGAATATGGCAGAGATTTGGGAACAGAAGAGGTGATGGATGACATACTGGAAAACTGGTGGTTCATCTGACCACGGGATCTGAGTTTCTGAAGAAAATCTGGATGCCTGTGATTTGAGAACTGAACCTGGAACCCAAAGTGAACTGGGGTGGGGTAGGGAAAAGGAAAGGATCAGTGTTGGGAAACTGGGCTTCAGTGGAACCTACAGGGAATGATGCCATTGTTGTGCATCTTTCAGTGAGGAGTAACTGATCAGGTGTCTATAACATTTTTCATTCTCTCTGGAAACAGACTCAGGTTTCTTTGGACCAAATCCAAAAGAACACATAGCTGTAACACAGCTGTAGTTGACTAGAATGCTCTGTATACTTTATATTAAAAAAAAAAAAAAAAAATGCTTTGCATTTCTTCCAGTGCAATGAAATTCATATGGTGTCCCACCTTATTTAATGATGGTACAATTTAAAATATTAAAATCTTAGTCAATCTCTGTAGAAAGTTTTCTCTATGAAAGTAAAGCTGTTTAAAAAATTATTTTTTTACAGATCTTTCTATAAAAAATAAACATCTTTTGATTGCTTGGATTTAGGAATTCACTTTTTGTTTCAGTGACCAATGTCAAGTGTCAGGCTGTGTGTGCCACACATCTACTCTTACTACCACCACCACATGCCGACCGGGGAAGAGCTGCCAGGACAGTCTCAAAAACTGAAAGACTGATCGCAAGGAGTAATTAAAGAGTAAGATACTGGCATTTATTTATGCATCTACTAATTTAAATACTTTTTAGAAATGGAAAATAAAAGGCTACAGTTTAATAGCTATATTTTTATAAAAGCATCTATGAAGGTTTTTTCCTTTTGCCTTTCTGTTTCTAGCAGAGGTAAGAATACTGTTCTCATATCATCTGCCTTCTTTTAAGTTCTCATTTTAACATTTAGGTAACAAAGTATGGCCCCCTTGTATTCTTGCTTTTAAATTATTTTATGTGTATATGAACAACGACCAGGGAGAAACAGAACTTTCAAAAATATAGGCTGCTGTGTGGGGGCCAATTATAAAGTGATGAGTTGTTTAAAATTAAAGACTTAAAAAACCTATCAGAATTAGAATCAGCAGCACTCTACAAATGAAAGTGCCTGTGCCTCACTCATCTCACACCTAACTCTGTTAGAGTGCCTAACCTGGTGGGGATTCTGTACAATCAAACAGTCCTATTTGTGCTCTTCAGTTTCCTACAAGGAAAGTCTGTTTTTATTCCTTTATCCCTACAAAGGTATGTCATTTAACCTGTCTAAAATAAAGCTATAAAAAATTACCAGATTTTAAAAGACACCTTCTTTCAATGGTAGTATTGTTATGTGCTGTCTAGTCAATTCCGACTCAGAGACCCTATATAAAGTTTCCTAGGAGCTGCTGGTGGATTTGAACCACCATCCTGTAGTTAACAGTCCAGTGCTTATCATACAGCATCACACCAAGAATCCTTAATAGTATATTATTGTTGGTAAGTACCTTCAAGTTTGTTCTGACTTAGTAACCGTGTATAAAGTTTCTGAGGCTTTTTTTTTTTTTTTCCTAATCTTTGATGGAGCATAAAACCTCATCTTTTTCCCACAGAGCAGCAGGTGTGCTCAAACTGCAGGCCTTGTGGTTCACAGTCCAGTGCTTATCATATGGAGCCAGTTAAGTGTCATCGAGTCGGTTCCAACCCATAGCGACCCTACACAAGGTTTCTGAGGAGTGACTGGTGAGCTTGAACCGAATTTGCAGTTTAAGCGGCTTTGCAGTCTGGTGCATTAATTCACAGCATCACACTAGAAGCCAGTGCACTCTCCTTAATAGTGTATATTGTTGTTAAGCGCCATTGAGTCGGCTCCAACTCATAGCGACCTTCTATAGGGTTTCCAAGGAGCAATTGGTGAGTTTGAACCACTAACCCTTTAGTTCAAACCCACCTAGTAGTCCGGTGATTTGTTGTTGTTGTTAAGTGCCGTTGAGTTGGTTCTGACCCATAGTGACCCCTCTATAGGGTTTCGGGGGAGCAGCTGGTGAGTTTGAACCACTGACCTTATTTAACGTTAAAATAAACCAGCAGCCCACTCAAAAACAAGAATACAAATAAGGGAAAATGTGATTGATTCATAGGAAAATGGCACAAAATACTAGCAGACCTGATTTGAAAAACTATTCACAAACGTTTTCTGGTGACAACAAGGAAAGGGAAGAAAGGGAACTTTAATATCCCCACCTGACTATACTAGAGAACACGGATGTGAAGGAAATGCCCTACCTCTGCCTGCCCCTATCCCCTCCCAGTAGGAAAAGAAATGCTTTTGTTTCAGTAAATGGAGCGTCTGTGGAAAGCATGGCAGGCGTCCCAGCTTTAGAATAAGATGAAAGTTACTAAATACCTCCATTCAAGTGTAATACCTATAGAAAGAAAGATGTGGTGTATGATTCTTAGAAATGCAAAAATGGGCCATTGAGTACTTAGATATTCCAAGAATAAATTTTCTAACTCATATAGAGTAAACCATTTTATTTTACCGTTTCATAAAGTTATTGAAAAGTGTAAGTGTATACATGTATTGCTTCACAGCTTTAATTTTGAAATAACAAGCAATTCAAAGTGATCGTCGAGGCCTCTGTTAAGATCTTCCAGCACAGCTGCCCCCATATGAAGATGAATAATATTGCACTTTTAAAATTAACTTTCAGAATTTTCTTCAAAGAGAAACATTGCTTCCATCTGTGCTTTTCTTAGACTAAAAGCATACTGCAGAAAACTCTAGAAGTTAATTCTGCAGGGTACAGTAATGTAGTAAAGTACCTGCCTATCTGAGCATCCTAGAGAACATGTCATCATTGTAAGAAATCAGCACACACAGTATTTTCATTTCAGTGGTCCAAGATGCGAAGGTTTCCAGATACAATCTTGTTCTCTAAAACTGCTCCAGGTGGGATATCAATTCTGTCACCATGATTTGCAATGATGATAACCGTTCCCTACATGATGGGGAAAACAAAAAGCAAGTTTATCACGCTGAAATGCAATTATTTTACAATTTCCAAGTTTATGTATCCTTTTATAATAGGGTAACCATATTTATAAACAATATTAAATGTAAGAAACACGTTAAGAAAAAGTGTAATGTGTTCGTCTGTAAGGATGCTGACAACAGTTGTTAGGTCCTTTGCCTTCGGGACATGAATCCAGCACCACAGTCTGACGTCCTTGTGGAGGTCCACTCGGAAGGCTAACAGCATTATCCAAACTTCCAACAGAAATGAAAAGATGCTCTGTTTACAGCAGTTTCTTTTCATTTTTTAAAGAATAGTTTACTAATAATTTTTGATATCTTAGATTAGACGTTCAATTAGCAATAAAATACCGTTCAGTAAGTGTATTTTCTTCCTTTTTTTTTTGCATTTAGATCATTCAAATAAAATCTAGTATAGGTTTGGGATTCAAAAAATATTACTTGATTAGGAAAAACCTGTTCTGTGTCTTTGGTCCTGAGCTTTAATGCTTCCTCCCGTATTCTTTCCTTTTCCTTACGATAAGCTGGAATGGTACTAATGAAAGTACCCCAAGTACTGCAGCAATGTGACCCAACTTCTTTATACTGATAATAGGCTAGCTGGAGTAGACTAAATTCAATATAAGTAAGGTGATAAAGTTTTTGACTTCAGATTCAAATAGTCATTTTAGTGACCCAACGCTAATTCATTTTTTTATTCCATTTAACGATTTTTATTGGTTTCCAAATTCTATTTGGGGATTTTTAATTGTTTTGTTTTTACATTTTTATTGTGAGTTAGTTTTCCATTCTAATTCATACACATTTTGTTTCATGCCATTGATTGCAATCTCATATTTTAATAAAGTAGAGCAATCATTAAACAGTGCTTGCCTTCTAGTTGGACACTGTTTTTCCACAAAATTCCAATGGATGGTATTTAACTAGGATATACAATCTACAGAAGACAGTGTTAATACTACAAACTGTGGGGAACCTAGTTCAGGTTAATATTCACTTGTTTTAAAAATATATTTAGGTCTTCTATACATCTGGTACAGACTAAGAAATATTACTTAAAATTAAATTTAGGTCTGGAAAATGAAACTTGTTTTGTAAAGCTATTGTTGTTGTTAAGTGCCATCGAGTCGGGTCCGACCCATAGCGACCCTGTACAGGGTTTCCGAGGGTGTAAATCTTTACGGGAGTAGAAAGCCTCATCTTTCTCCCGCGGAGCGGCTGGTAGATTCAAACCGCTGCCCTTAAGGTTCGCAGCCCGCTGTAATTTTCAAAACACACCTTTAATGAAACATTCTTGCCAAATGTCACATCTCCTGACACTGTGAGGTGATCCAATTCAAGCATATCTGGAATACTTTCAAATCTCCGTAGATAATCTTGAACCTTAAAGAAAAATGGAAACCGATAAATTGTTTCAGAATGAGTTATCAGGAATCCAGGGATAATATAACAAAGTAGTTTACCTGAACTGTAAAAAATATGGGAAGAGCATATTTATTAAATGTTCACTATCCTGTTCAAGAGAGACTAGGAGATGTGAACACTGTCTTTATAAACAAGCAACTTGTAAGACAATAGAGCAGATCAGACATAAAAAAAAAAAAAAAAAAGCAGCCAACATGCTAAGAGCCCAGTGAGTAGTCCAGATAGTCTGGATTTAGGTAGAAAGAAGGAGGGATATGTCATCATGGTTTTAGACAATAGAGAAGAAAAGTTATGTGGGTACTGGGCTTTTCAGTAGGATTCAGAGCACAGATTATCATAAATGATCAGTTTTCACCTCTTACACATCCTTAGATTTACATAGTGTGGACCTCATTTCCTATTTTACCAAGAAAAACAGAAGCAATCAAAACCCTTCCAATTGGCTTCCAACACCACCCACTTGAAGGAAGATAGGAAGTTGTTAGATGCCATTGAGTCAGCACTGATTCATACCAACGCTATACACAAACAGAACGAAACACTGCCCGATCCTACCCCAACCTCACCAATCGCTGCCATACTTGAGCCCATTGATGCTGCCACTTTGCCAGTCCATCTCGCTGGAGGGTCTTCCTTTCTTTCTCTGACCTTCCACCTTACCAGACTTCTCCAAGGACTGCTCCCTGCTGACAATATGACCGAAGTATGAGAGACAAAGTCTGGTCATCCTGGCCTCCAAGGAGTACTCTGTCTACACTTCTTCCAACACAGATCTGTTGGTTCTTTTGGCAGCCCATGGCACTTTCAACATTTTCCTCCAACACCATAACTCAAAAGCATCAATTCTTCTCTGATCTTCCTTATTCACTGCCCAGCTTTTGCATTGAAACTACCATGGCTTGGGTCAGGTGCACCTTAGTCCTCAAGCTGACATCTTTGCTCTTCAACACTTTAAAAAGGTCTTGTGCAGCAGATGTGCCTAATGCAATATGTCATTTGATTTCTTGACTGCTACGTCCATGAGTATTGATAGTTGATCCAAGAAGAATAAAGTCCTTGACAACTTTAATCTTTTCTCTATTGATAAGGATGTTTATTGATCCAGTGGTGAGGATTTTTATTTTCTTTACATTGAGATGCAATCCATACCAAAGGGTGTGCTCTTTGATCTTCATTTAAGTCCTTTTCACTAAGCAAGGTTGTATCATCTGCCTATCACAGGTTGTCCTCCTCCAATCCTGATGCCAAGTTTTTCTTCATATAACCCAGCTTCTAGGATGATTTGCTCAGCATACAGGTTGAGTACGTATGGTGAAAGAATACAACCTTGTTGCACACCTTTCTTAACTTTAAACCATTCAGTGTTCCTATGTTCTGTTAGAACACCTGCCTATTGGTCCAGGTACAGATTCCTCAAGAGTACAAATTAAGTGTTCCAGAATACTCATACTTCGCAATGTTCTCCACACAATCGATAGCCTTTGCATAGTCACTAAAGCATAGGTAAATATCTTTCTGATACTCTCTGCTTTCAGCCAAGATCCATCGTACTTTCCACGGCCTCTTCTGAATCCGGCTTGAACCTCTGGAAGTTCTCTGCCAACGTATGCTCGCAGCCGTTTCTGTATTACCTTTAGTAAAACTTTACTTGCATAGGATATCAAAGATATTGCCCGATGATTTCCGTATTCTGTTGGGTCACTTCTCTTTGGAATGGGCACAATTACGGATCTCTTCCACTCAGTCGGCCAGATAGCTGTCTTCCAAATTCCCTGACATTGATGGGTGAGTACCTCCTGTGCCGCCTCACTTTCTTGAAAATGGTGGGAGTGGGGTATAAAAAGACAAGCCTAAGTGGGGAAAGGGTGATGTATCCCTAGTATTTTACCCAGCCAACGAGGCTGATGAAAGAGGAATCAAAAAACCAGGGTGACTCCTAAGATGTCTGATCCTATCCCGAAAACCAAAGTAGCCAGAGTCCTCCCCCATCAACATAGAAATGATTACATATATTCACCCCAGATGGCTCTAAACCAGAACTTGAACAGATCTAGAAGACTCACCAAGACTATAAGCCAGACACAAAGGCTCACCCTGCTACTCTTTTAGACTTGGAATATAAGGGGGAGTCAAAAAGTATTGCTACTTGGGGTTCTAATGCATAGATGCACAGATTTATTCCAAACAAAACATGTTTAAATATTTCTCTGATCAGTGGATGGCTGCAAACAAGTTCTCTCAGTAACACACTTGTCTTAATCTCCTGAGGGTACCTTCAAACACAAGGTCTAATTAAAACAGTGGCTTCCAAGGGAATCTGTTTGCCCAGTTACATTCAGAGAAAAGGATCAGCTTGTAAGGCCTTTACCAATGAGTTTGAACCACAAGGTCAGGGATTCAAATACACCAACCACTCCTCAGAAAACCTATACAAGATTGCTGTGAGTCAGAACTCAATAGCACTTACCAACAACAAAAGGGCTGCCCTACAGAGAATTTCATTTGGAAACCTAACCCCATCCGAGACTATACAGCCTCGATACTGTGTAAGCCTGATACTGAAGCCCTTCAGACTTCTTTTCATACCCAAAAACTCAAAAAATGTTTCAATTCAACATGATTTGAGGCCCTCAAGAATGCCAAAACTACTGTTTTGACATGGTGTAAACTGAAGGCAGATTTCTTCAGGGAAGGGTCAAAGCGATAGAAACGCTGCCTTCAGTATAGACTTAGATGGAAGATATATCTTGAGAAATAATAGTTTTACATGCTGATATTTTGAATAAAGGTTTTATGATTCTGTAGGACTTCTGTGACTTATCCTCTTTTTACATGATTACATTATTCTGTGTTCCATGTACCATGCACATCGGGATGGGGTGCTACTCTGCTTATAAACCCCCCCGCCTCGAATGCTTTTCATTGCTACCTGCATGGCACCCCCAGTCAAATCCTCAGTGAAGCCATCTCTGTTTGCCTGGTGGAAAGCACCACCACTCCCCACCTCTGCTTTACTGTTTCCCCAGTATTTTCTGCCACCGGCACACAACATTTCATTTACTTATGTCTTATCATCCTTCTTCCACTGAGATATCAGTTCCATGAAAAAAGTCTGTTTTGTTTACTACTACTAAATCCACAACACCTACAACAACACTACTCAGTTTGTGATAGAGGCTCAATCCATTTTTGTTAAACTAGAATTAACACTCTCCCACTGGGGAGGGCAGTAAAGATTATGGAAGAGACCATGTAAAATGCTCCAAATTTTAAAATTATTTTCTACTCCCTATAACAACCATGTTTAAAAAAGGATGCATGTCTTATGTTCTCCAGTCGATTGCCTTTCAAAGACATGGAAGATGCAGGATCATAACAGACAGCTGCAGAGACTGTAATTAGACTCCAATTCACATGCATAATCTATAATTATACACGGAAGAGACACATACTGTCATGGATATTCTATCTTTATCACCAAGAACTTAGGAAATACGCACCTTGGTAAAGGAACTGCCTAACTTAACCAAGGGCACTGTAGGAAACTCCCGCTTTTCACTCATTGTCAGAGATCCGGCATTAAGGCTGTAGAGGTTTGACATCACAAGCAAGAGATCTGATGTGGTTTTGACAGGCAGAAAACGGCTCCGAGGAACATTAATACCTAGAGAATTCTCAAAACTCTTAATGGCAGCCCCTACTGCAGTTTCTAACTGAATGACATTCAGGCCTCCATCCAAAGTCTGTAAGAAAAGGGAGGGAAAGCAGATTTTAGTCACCTACAACTCATACCACATGGGCTAGTTAAAATCTGGGAGGAAACACTGGAATAAAGAGCATTTTGAGAAGTGACATTTATGGAGCACCTTCCGTACACCAGGCTCACACACTGACCTTTTTTCAGTCTCATAATTGTGTGCAGTAGTATTTCAATTTCAGTAATAAGGAACCAGAGGTTCAGAAGACTCATGCAAGGTACCTAAGGCCACATGGTCTTTAAGTGTCAGAAAATGTAGGCTCCCAACTCCTGTGCTCATTACCAAGCTGGCACGAACAGGGACGAGCGCAGAAATTGGTAGGCAGAGCCAGCCCCTACCGAGATGGACTGGGCAACAAGGGGTCACCACAGGGTAGATGGGTCTGAGTGCAGCTTACCTTTGGATTCACAATGATCTCCATGTCGATGGCATTCTGCTCCTGCAGTCTTTTAACTGCTGCAAGAGAGATCCACAGGTTGTTTGTGTTAAATATTTTGAATTTTGACACAGACTTGAACTCATCAACATGGGCTTTGGGCACTTGAGCGATTTCCACCAGTCTCAGTTTGCCTTCATATTGAGTGAGTGTCCCACCCTAGGAAGGCAGAAAACAGTGAGTGCCTCCACATGGCTGTCAGACCATAACCCACACTATTTATAGTCTACAGATCCTGGTACGAAGCTGCCCCAGACACAAAAACCATCAGCAATGATTCAATCTGTGATACAACTTAGTTTGAAGGCAGAACCTTGTCCATGATAAAGGGTCTCCCTGACTTTCCTAAGGCCTGCAACAGAAGCAGTCCAGTCCTCTTCTCCCCAAGCCACTGCCCATGAGCTGGCTCTGGGACAAGGGGAGAAAGGGGGAAATGAAGGATAAGTGGGTGACAGGTAACTCCTGAGTGGCCTCAGCCTAGAGATGTTCTGGCACCCAATAGGCCATGCAGTGGGGGAAGAGGGATATTCACTCACATGTGAGGGGGACATTTGAAAGAGACAGAGCCCAGGTCAAGGACTGACAGACTTAGTATTCAAACACTGCCTGCTTTTCTCATTCCCTGTGGACAAATGGTAAAGCCATGTGTGCCATTTCATCAAAAGCCAAGAGTCATGACCACCAAACGTGCAGGTTAGGAAAATCAGCGTGTGCTTTGTAACAGAACATTATCCACAGAGATATAACAGTGACACTCACACACATAAATACATAGGACAAACATTAAACCTTCATTAAAGGGGACAATGAACAAAAACACAAAGCACCCAGCCAAAAGAATATTAAAAGTTTGAACAAGTCACATGTTTAAGATTTATCCTATGGAAGTATTTCAGTTACAATTACTAACATAGACTATCTTTTTTAAAAAAATGATTTAACAGTATTGACTCTGGATTTCTGATCCACACTGTTGTCAGGCAGTAAACACCATCTCACTGTCTTATAAAGACGTCCAGTGGATAGAGAGAGAGTTTCAAAACAAGTTTGAACTTCATGACCTGAGAAATGTGAAGCCGTGAGTCCCCACACTCATCCTTCTCTCAGTATTTACCTTCACGTCTGCACGTGTTTTATTTGTGACCTCCATGACAAACTCACAGCGTTTTCCATTGGGTGGGTTCATTAAATGATTAAGGATATAAAGATCCACTGTGGCACCCAGATTATCTATGTTTGATACGAAAATATACTCTTTGCCTTCTTCTATGAAGGTATCAAGCAAGCCAGAGTTGAAGAAACTGGCATAAATGTCTCCATGGCCCGGAGGGTACCAGGCGTCTGTATTTTCCCCTGAGTACGATACATCCTTTGCTACAGGCAGTAAAGATTCCTTATTAATCCTTGGATACCTAAAAAAAAAAAAAAAAAAAAAACAAGTTCCTTTTCAGTATCAACTTTGTAGCACATCCCAGACCTTCCAGTTAAATAAAATTTCGATCTTTTTCAGAGTCTATCAATACTGAGCTATTACATGATTCCACTGAAAAATAATCTCTCATATCTGCGGGTCTCCAAAATCTGTTCTCGAGACAGTAAGTATTGGTGCGTAACAAACCTTTCCATGGCCATACAGCTCAGAGGACATCTCAGGTCTGTTTTATGTGTTTTACGACTCTCCAAAAGAGAAATTCTATTAAAGTATTAGGTTTCTCAAATATCTATTAGTGAGATTTTTCTTTTCCCTGAAACCTATGTGGGAAAAATAGTCCATTTACAAACAGATACATTCAGGGATGATTCTCTTTCTCTCCCACAACATCAGCAGCAAGTTAGTGGTCAGAAATATTTGCTTCCCACCCTTAGGTAGACCTGGGCCTGGGAAGCCAAGGCGCCAGAATGTAGCAGAGTGGAGCCCAACCTGAGAATGAAGGCAAAGCCTCTGTGACATACGGTGTCCATGGAGAGAGTGTACCAAAAGAGAAAGGCAAGATAGTAACTAATGGGACATGACATAATGAGAAAGACTCCTTCAGAGTAAGTCATGTTCATTCTGAAGTAGAAGCCTGGTTTCCCCTGCTGCCTTGGCTTCACCCCAACCTGTCACCTGACTTGTTTCCTGACTCTCTCCTCCTCCATGCAGAAGATTTTCTACAGAATTGCTTACATTTCTCCAAAGCCTACTCATGCTGCTGAAGAAATCCCTTCCCACAAGAAAGGTGACTGATACCGTGGCATACAGAATGATTTTCACAGATCTGCCTGGAGACCAAATATGCCCTGAGAAAGCAAATGTCTAAACTGTGCTTTAATATTCTGGGAATGAGCCAGTTCAACATATACACACAAAGTATTGTTCTAAGAATTGGAAGTTACAGAACCATTAAGCAGTTATAACAGTCATGGGTCTAGTTACTAATATTTTGCCTTTAAAGCAGCAAGCACTTGCAAGCATTAGTCTTTGGCACATGGGAGTCTCTAGGTGGTCTGTAAAAAAAAAAAAAAAAGCGAACACTCCAAGAATCATACCCCAAGTCACACTTTTTTTTTTTGCTTCTTGTACCTGCTTTGATTAAAAGTGTAGATTTTCACACGGCAGTGATTGTACTTCTGTAGTATTTTTTTGGTATCTTCATCCGTGTTAAAAGAGTTCATGAGAACAAGAGGAACATCTGTATTGTAGGTTTTGTTCAAATGCTAAGTGAGAAAATGACAATCAGGTTACCCAGATTTACTTTTCTTTTGCTTAAAATTTTAAGTTAATTCAATGGTTAATGAAAAAAATATCTAAAATAGCATCTATTTAACATATAATTGAATATACAGATCTGGCATAATAACCATCCGATGTAGGACTTTGCAAGATATTTGTTTGCTAAGCAATTCACTATGTGCTTTCTCATGAAATCCCCACTCTGAGAGATAAACAACTGCATACAGATTACGGGGGACTAAACAGAGGCCAAGAGGTGGCAAGTCAGCAGCAGAGCCAGGGCCCAGCAGGCCGTACACTGGAGACACGTGTGTGGCCACAGTGCCACGAACCTCATGTGTGGACAAGCTCTGGATCACCATTTACTCCATGTTGAAAGCACTGTGGGGGTGAAAGTACAAACATCACACAGGCACAGCTCCCTGGGCTCAGGATTAATGGCCAAGAATTCTGAATCATACTTCAACTGAAACGCTTTCAATCTCTAGGAAGAGCAAAGAGGCAACATGGAGAGGGAAGAAGAGCAAGGTCTTAGAAGTCAGGCTACTCCTGTGTTCCAACTTTGGTTCTGCACTTTCTAGCTACTCGCTACCTCTCTGTGGGCCTTGGTTTCCTCCTCAGTAAAATGGGAATGATAACAATACTTACACATCACTGAGATGTTGAAAGGATCAAATGAGTCAATTTGTGTAAAGAGCTTAGAACAGTACTTAGAACACTAAATATTAGATAAATGTTCACTGCTATTATAGCTAGTGTTATTACTGTGGTCTCCAGTGCTACGCTAAACACAAGGGATCAAGAGATGAGAAAGACAGAGCCACTGCTCTGAAAAGCCAATGGTCTGAGTGACTTGATTATAACTGCCAACAACATAACACCAAGGGCATCCATCAGGTACGTGAGGTTCCTCCCCAGAATAACAACAAAACCAGGTCTCCCTAGCTGTGAGGAAGGAGGCTACTAGACAGAAAAGGGATGGAGAGGTGGGAGCCTCAGAGGAGGACCCTAACAGAAGACGCTATTTAAGATCAAAATCTTTGAGATTTGCCCTTACAAACACCAAGCCTTTTTTTACACTAACCCCAGCACTGAAGATAGCAGGGGCCTTGACTAGCTCAAATCCACATCTGCTACATTTTAAAATGTGACATTCCTAACAACCTAAAGGGTCCATTCTAGCATGTCTTCTTTTAGTATCAAACAACACACACTAAATGTGACTCACTTCAATTTGCTGAACGGTCAGATCCAAAAAGGTATTCTCATTCCTCACACCAATCAGGCTCTTAGGGCCCTTGCAGCCCATGCTGGTCCCCAAGCCGCCATTGAGCTTCACCACCACCAGCTTGTTCAACACAGAAGATATGTTCCCAGGTAAGCCCCTGGCTTTTATCTTCTCATAGGGCTGAATCTGAAAGAAAGAAAACAAAATTATAGAACTAATTCAAGTAGCTTCCCAAGAGGTTAAAGCAGATCTAGCCCAGGGCTATTTCCTTGCTTCTTTAAAGACTCTTGAGTTTCTCTGTTGTTGTTAAGTGCCACTGAAGTCAATTCTGACTCACACTGACTTAGTTATAGGGCTTCTGAGAAACAGCTGTTGAGTTTCAAGGGTGGAACTTACAGTTAGCAGTCCAGTGCTTATCCTACAGCGCTACACCAGGACTCCCTGTAAAGCATTTCCACTTCATGTCCTTTAGCTTTACAGGTTCTATTGGTTCAGAATCATATTTTTTTGAGTTGTGTAACATTCTCACCCTCCTTTTCTAAATTATCCCACCACCTTTACAGAGCAAATTAGTTTTCCATCCAACAATATATGCAAGTTTTATTTTTATGATACTGGGGACAACCCCCATAATAATGTAACAGCACTCTTCCCACTTCCACCTTGGGCTCCTAATTCTTTCCATCCTTCTTATCTCTGGAGCTTTGTTTTGGGAAAATGCTGCCCTTGTGGTATCATATGATCTCAAATGTACTGAGGAGTACAGTCCTCCCTGGTGTTACTATTCACTTTTGGTTGCTGTTAAGTGTCACTGAGTTGGTTCTGACTCACAGCGACCCTGTATAGGGTTTCCAAGTAGCAGTTGGTAGGTCTGAACTACCAAGCTTGCAGTTAGCAGTCCTGTGCTTATGCTATAGTGCCATACCAGGCCTCCACTTTATAGGCTGAAAGTTGCTCCAGGGGTGGGTTCAGTTCTAGGCTAAAAGGGTCTAAAGCCACAGTCCTGGGAGTTCCACCAAGCCCTTAGCAGACCAGTTGTCTGGTTATTTGCATGATTTTTGATTGTGTTCTACATTTTTTTCCTCCAACTCTGTCTAGGACCTTCTATTGTGACTCCTATCAGAATGGTCAGTGGGTGACCGGAATTATTTCCGAATGTGAAAGGGTTGTCAACTTCCTGGTGGATTCTGCTAAAAAGCCTTCAGCAGCCATACACATTCATGAACCAAAAGGAGGGCTGGTGACAGAAACAGATGGAAGATGGAAGGAGGGGACAGCAACGTGAGCATTAAGGCCCTCCATACAGGTGCTATCTAAACACCAAGGACAAGGAAAGCAAGGAGGAGGGAAAGAAAACAGACTACACAGCTTGCTTCCCTGGCAGTGCCCAGTCCCAGTGAGGACAATGTCTGGGTGATATTAATGGGGACCACCTGCCCCCACACAAAGTGGCCCAGTTGATGTTCACAGAAGAATGCTCTAATTTAACTCACTACCATGAACATAAGGAGACCTATAGTGTAGCGGATCATGAACTAGGCTAATTGCAGGGTTAGCAGTTTAAATCTACCAGTCGCTCCACAGTTAGTAGTGAGGCTTTCTGTTCCTGTGAAGATTTAGAGTCTTGGAAACCCTACATAGAGTCGCTTTGAGTCAGAACTGACTCGGCATACAACCACCACCACTACCAGGACACTGTAAGTCAAAGGAACTTCTAATATTGCTTGGAAGAAAAATAAAGGCCTCTTTTTAGAAAAAATAAAAAATTTTAAATATACAGATAAATAGAAGAGACTAAAGCCCAACCTAGAGCCACACTACTAGAAAAATAAGAACCTTCTGTCAGAACTCAACCTAACAGAGTTGAGTTCAGTCACTGAACTCTACTCATTAGAGTAAACGCATGCCACTGTGACAAAATATCTTCCAGAAGTCTATTATTAGGCAACAAGAATTTCCTGAGCACTTTATGTTGCCTTTATGATTAGGATGTAGATGTCCCCTGATACTGTGGTCCTAAGACCCCAAGCCCAGTGAGTCACTCCCTCAAGGTATGTCATTGTGGTTAAGAAGTTTTCCGAACTCTAACCTCTGTACGCTCAGCAACATCCTTAGATACATTTGCAGCACATAAAAATATGCATGTAAAAAGCTGTTGACTACAACTTTCTGTGGTGACAGAAATGCCCTACATTTTCCACTGGCCAATATGATATCCACTAGCCACATGTGTCTAGTAGGTACTTGAAATGTGGCTAATGCCACTAAAGAACTACATTTCCAATTTTATTAAATTTTAATGTAAAAAGACACATAAGACATATTGGACAGTATAGTTCTAGACAGTCCACTATAAAAATTAACCAAGAAATCGGAATTACGTTTCATTTCATCTGAATAAAATTCTGCCAGAATATGTTTATTTTTCAATATAATCTTTTTCATCATAATGATACTGACATTAGAGGACAGTCAACCAAACACATAAAGTCTGATTCTTCCTTACGTTGACTAATCAATGTTCCATTTCCCTAACACTGGGACAACCTGAAGTTCCACTTCAGTCTCAGAATTTGACCACATTATCTGCTGTCTCTACGGCAGAATGCCCAGTGTTACCCTTTAGCACCAATTTAAAAGTTTCTTGAGGGACTTCCGGCGCTTCCCTGACCGGGCAGCACAACAGGTGAGCGGGGCTCCAGGGAAGGGTGGTGGTATCACACAGAGGAGGCCCCTGCCAGGTAGACAGGCAACCTTTGGACAAACATAAGACTTTAGCCTACAATACTGTGGACTTGCTTTTTTTGAAGGGTCGAGCTGCTGGGAAGTTGTGGGCATTTTGGACCTCTGCCCGCCTGTGCTCGCCTGCGCTCGGCTCACGCACTGGGACTGCGCGTGGGGCTTGAGCAGACCCGATCGGAGGGCGGGCGCACCCAGACAGCCGGCAGGGCCACAAGAACTGGCGTGGTCCTTCGTTGGGTGGGTGGGGGCCCTCATTATCACGGGAGGTGTTGTAGGGCCGGGTGCCCACGGCGCAGGGAGACAGAGAGAGGCATTTTTTGATGTCGTCAGACAGGGACACCATCTGCCTGCATCCATTAGTCCCGCCCTCCACCCCCTCTGCCTAGACTAGCCCTCTGCCCAACCTCCGAGGCTCAGGCCTGCCCATCAAGGCACAAGCCAGCACAAGTGGAGACACTTTGAGGTGGGTTTTTACTACCAGCAACAAGGCAGTCCTGCTGTGGCTCTGAAGGTTAAGGGACCAGACTGCAGAGCCTTTTGAACTGTGAGGTTGGTAGTTCGTGCCCACCAGCTGCTCCTTAGAAACCCTATACAGGGTCCCTTTTTTTTTCTTTTTGTGTGTGGGTGTGTGACTAGAAGTTGCCTTAATTAATCTCGTTGTTTTTTCTGATACTGAATTCTATTTTTTTTGTCTTACTTTGTTTTTCTCAGTATCACTTTTGTTTTTGATTTTGCTTTGGGTTTTATTTTCTACCTGACTGGTGTTGCTTGGCTGTCATATAGCCTCTCTTCTGTTATCGGAGAACTCCACTTTTGGATTTTATTTTGATTTTGGTTTTGTTTTCTACCCGACTGGTGTTCTTGGGCTGTCACATAACCTCCCTTCTGCTACTGGAGGACTCTTTGTCCCCCTACATTACAAGAAAAGAGTCAGCAACTGCTGTCAAATAGCCAAGCTGCAATAACACTTTA